CAACAAGATGGAATTGAACCAAACTTGGCACACAGTTCTCCCATGACCAACAGAAAATACTGGAAGGATTTGGTGGGCAGTGTCCTTGGTTTTGGAGTTGTAGTTCACCTACATCCAGAGATCACTGTGGACTCAAACAATGATGGATCTGGACCAAACTCTACATGAATACTCAATATGCCCAAATGTGAACACTGGTGGAGTTTGGGGAAAATAGAATCTTGACATTCGGGAGTTGTAGTTGCTGGGATTTATAGTTCACCTACAATCACAGAGCATTCTGAACCCCACCAACGATAGAATTGGGCCAAACCTCCCACACAGAACCCCCATGTGGGCCACAGCAACGCATGGCAGGGGACGGCTAGTACACCATAAAATACTGTTGGTCATTATACAGATTCCTCAAGAGAGAGACAAGGTGATTTAGTATGCCCATACCACCAAGAACCTGCCACAATTTATTATGATCCACACAGTCAAAGGCTTTAGGATAGTCAATAAAACAGAAATAGATGTTTTTCTGAAACTCCCTGCCATTCTCCATTATCCAGCGGATATTGGCAATTTGGTCTCTCGTTCCTCTGCCTTTTCTAAACCCAGCTTGTACATCTGGCAACTCTCGCTCCATATATTCCTTGCAGGATCTTGAGCATTACCTTACTGGCATGAGAAATAAGGGCCACTGTATGGAAGTTTGAGCAGTCTTTCGCATTTCCCTTTTTTGGTATGGGGATATAAGTTGATTTTTTCCAGTCTGATGGCCATTCTTGTGTTTTCCATATTTGCTGGCATATGGCATGCATTTTTGTTTATATATTGTCCTATTTCCTATCTGGTGGATCCAAAGGCTATAAGTGCAGATAGGAACTTACAACAGAGCCAATAGCTACTAATTCAATCTGGATAGGAAGGACTGAGAGACACAGAAATCATAAGAGACAAGGATGAAAGGACCAAGGGAAGGTTTCAACAAAACATTCACTGTGGAGCAACGCAAGACATCCTGCAGGAAAATCCAGGACTAAAGGAGGATTCAAAGAAACAGTGCAGTCAAACTTCTGAATTGATTTTCAAAGAATTATGTCCACAAAACTCATGAATTAGAGAGAGGCAGCACACAAACACACATCTATCCTATCTTCAGGACATGGAGCGGTAAGAATCCACCTCTGACAAAGTGAAGATGCCCTTCAATGCTATCAATCTGACATTGAGCTATAGCTCCCGGAAGGGGTAAATTGTAAATTATAATTCCACTCACAAAACATTTGAATTTCAAAAACTGAGTAAAAAGAACATAGTTACTGATACACTGGTTGCCTTTCGGGATATGTGGACTATATTTTCCAAGCAGTTTCAAAAAGAGTGGACACTAGGGACAGATAACACACATGAATAGCTGGGTTTAGAGGTAAATGCCCAGTTCAGAAGTATGTGCCAATTAAACCATGACAGAGTGGCATTAAAGTGAAGTACTACAGTACAAGAAGAATAGTATATCCTCTGAAGGGAGACAATTGGTCTTGCTACAGTAGGGAAAGTCTGGCTTAGTTACACTGTTGGGACAGCACTGGTTGAAGCTTATTTCTAAAAGGGATGAAGGGTAGTGGACTTAGAAATGAAAAACCATCTGTTAACTAAAGGACTAATGTACTTAGGCACCATCTAGTAAGCCTGCTTTCAATTAGGGTCTGCATTTTCTTAAAATTCCCTTTTAAACATACTTCCAGAAGTATGCTTTCAGAAATACTGTTAATTCTTATAAGCTTATTTGAAGCCATACAAAATCACCAGCTGAACAACAAATAACACAGGTTTATTGGGGGAGAAATCAACAGGATGAGCTATCTCTAGAATCTTCCTGCTGTGACAGAGAGCCATTTGTCATGGCTGAAGCTGCTGAAAATTAAGGTTGATTCAATTGTGGAGATTTGTTCAGTCATTTTCTTTCCCTAAATATTTATTATGAACACACTTGAACGACTCATGTCACCTACATAGCAACCACTAAAACTGAGTTATAAAGCTATTGGCTTCTGTGAGATTTGTAAAAGTATCAGGAGACTCTCCCTGGCATTTTTCTTGAAATGCAGAACATTTTCTTCTCTTAAAAACAATTTCCCACATTTACTTATATCCAGTACTGGGAAATCAGAATAAATATATGCTCAGCTAGGTCCACTGAAAACACCCTGAAGAGGTTTTTTTTTTTACTCTCCTGCTGAAATCTTGGAAACACTGGAGCTAGAAGGAGGCGATAGCTATTCCCATTCCTCAGCAAAACCATCAAACATACTGCAGAAGGGTTTGACTAATAGATTATTTATTTCTATATTAGCAAAGTGAGCTGTACTTTTTCAGTTACAGTCCATGTACAACGCACTGACAAACTGGCAAAACCATGGAGAGAGAGAGAGTATAACAATGGACAAGATATACACATAAGATTTCATGAGTATCAACCCCCTCTGTGCATGCAATATCAAGTAATGTTAAGGCCACAGGTAGGATTTCTGGGAATTGTAGGCCAAAAACATCTGGGGACCCCAGGTTGAAAACCACTGCCCTAGAAGATTAACAGTTCACTCATTTTACCTGTAGCAGTTTCTCCCGTACTGGCAAGCTCTCCTCTGCTGGTGAATAGATATGTTGGAGTTTTGCAGTACATTTTGACTTCTATTTAAATTAGAAATATCTGTTTTGGTAGTCTGGTTAATCTGAGGAAGTTCTTGAATCTCATCCTTATTATCCAGAGATTGTGAAGGCCTGTCCTGAGAAAATTGCTCTGTTTTAAAGCTATCATCTTCCCCTTTGTTTTCAATTGCACCCGTTGTATTGGTTTCTGTGAGCTGACACGTTCGTACATTTTGAGGACTGAGGTCCACCTCTTCATTCTCAGGCAGATAGGAGCATTGCCCTGCAGAACCTCCAGCTTTTTGATGCCGTACTTTGTTTTCATTCTTTTCGAGTTCTCTTGCAATTTCTTCAGAAATTCCTGGCATATCCTGTAGAAATTAGGAGCGAAATTTGATGTGAAACACGTTTAGTTGTCAACACTTTCTGTAAGAGAAGAGTCTAGTAAAGATGGGTTATTTTAGAGAGAAAAAACAAGAGGTACACGAAAGGCTAAATCATTAAAATTGGGGGACAAGTGTATTAATGAATGAATGTCAGCACATATTGTTACCTGTATAGAAATGTACTTGGAGTAAGGATTAAAGATTTAATGAGTACTAGCTGTACCCGCCACGCTTTGCTGTGGCCAATCTTCCCTCCCTCTTTCTCTCCTTCCTTTCGCACCCTCCCTCCCTCCCTCTTTCCTTTCCTTTACTTTCCTTTCCTTTCCTTCTTTCCTTTTATATTTCCTTCCGTCCCCTTTCTTTCTCTACCTCTTTTCTTCCTTCGCTTTTTGCTTTCATCCTTCCTTCTCTCTTTCTTTCCTTCTCTCCTTCTTTCCCCCTTCCTTCACTCCCTCTTTTTCTTTCCTTCTCTCCAGCTTCTCTCTCCTTCCTTCGCTCCTGCTTTCTTTCCTTCCTCCTTTTCTTTCCCTTCCACTTCCTCTTCTTTCCTCCATCTCTATCTCTTTTCTTCCTTCCTTCACTCTTTGCTTTCATCCTTCCTTCTCTCTTTCTTTCCTTCTCTCCCGCTTTCTCTCCTTCTTTCCCTCCTTCCTTCGCTCCCTCTTTCCTTCCTTTCCTTCCTTTCTTCTTTCTCTCTTCCTTCCTTCTCTCCTCTTTCCTTCCTTACTTTGTTCTTTGCTTCCATGCTTCCTTCTCTCTTTCCTTCTTTCTTTCCCCCCCTCTTTCTCTTCTTTCTTCTCCTTCCTTCCCTCCTCTTCCTTCCCTTTTTTCCTGTATCGTCATTTAGCTCTTTTTGGGTTTTTAAGTCCTTTTCCACTGGGTGATGATCACTTGTTGGTCTGTTAGGGGTATAGTGTTCAAATTTTGTGTCAGTTCGTCCAGTGGTTTTTGAGTTATGTTAATCCCACAAACGAACATTACATTTTTATTTATATAGATTAGGAAAGTGCTAGTCTTGATAAAGGAGTTCTGGAGGAGTTCTAGATTTGAAATGAGTGGCTGGAAACATTAACACATTCTTTACATGCTGTATTTCTTTGAGTCTCCTAACCACTTTGAGTCTCCTTGTGGAGAGACAACAACTCAATTGTAAGGAGTACTTTTTCCTACATAAACATCTGAAAGAAATGGCCTCTTAGAATCGAAGGAGTATCTTATGTATTTTTGTTGGTGGTAGTGGTACTGAAATTTAGGTGCATCTTACAATTGAAAAAAAATGAATTCAAAGTTTCTCAGGACTGCTTTATATGCTTCTAAACAGGTCCAGAGGTGTGAAACACACAAACTGGGAAGGGACGCACACAGACCCTTATCCACTTTTGCACCTTCACCCTATTTGTTAACTGTACTGCTGTGGCAGGAAAAATGTAGCATGTGGAGAAAACCCACTCTATCTTTAAATTGGAAATATGATTCAACTTGAAAACAATATACATGTTCCCTGTGCACCTTATTTTAAAGGTCCTTTGCCACTTTGATTTATTATTATTATTATTATTATTATTATTATTATTAGTGGAGTGGCAGCAAATGCAAATGTCAAGCGTAGACACACTGAATTCAGGGGTGCAATTCACTCCAGAAATTAGCCATCCCGGTGTTAAACAGGCATGTGCAATAAAACTCTGATTGTTACCCAGAGTAAAGCACAATTTATAGCTTAATGTGAAGTAAAACCAAAGCCAAAAGAGCAAGCAAAATTAAAATCAATACCACTGTCATAAGGGAAGTATCTTCATTTTCACTCATCTTCCGCTTTTTCCCTGAGTCTTTTACAATCTTGACACCATTTCCTATGAAAAAAAAACAAGGAAACTGAATATGAAGAGCTGCATCACAGAGGTGGAAGGCAAGTGAATAAGGACACTGTTCATCACGGGATAATTAACACCTACATCATTTTCAGAAGTATCCAGAATAATATTAGTATTATTCATTGCACTTTATTAATGTAACTGTGGAAGGATTTAGATCCTGAATGGTGGGATACTAATAATTTATTATTATTTAAAACTTTTATAGCCCGATCTTCTCAACCTCCGTAGAGGGACTCAGACCGTAGAGGGACTCAGACTAATAATTTTAACAAGTAATAAAATAATAATACAAGTACAAAATACAAAGTAAATAAAGGGAAGGAATAAACCAATAACTGATGATAGCATATTATATACCAATTTCTGTGGTGTGAGCTTCAAAGTTCTCTGCAAAACCAAGTAAATATTCTCAATGTGAAATTTCACTGAAATTATTATTGCCAATGTTATCATTCAACCTGTGGAAAACCCTAGCCAATATGTGTGTGCAAAGGCAGGCAGTGTTTCAGAAAAAGATCAAGCAAAATTACCAACCAATCGTTATATCATATAAACTGTGTCTAATGAAATAATTGATGAATTTCAGCAAGGTATAAATCTTCATTTGTTCAGTATTCCTATCAAATACCATCTGCTACTTCCTCATTGGCCAAATAAACATTTTTAAAAAAAATGCTAGCACATTCCCTGTCCAACAGAACTGATTGGCTTATTCTCATGTGTCATGACACAATCAAGATAGATTGCGGGATAGAAATAAAGTATTATTAGTGCTAGTAGTAATAGTAGCTAGAAGTATACTAAAATAGTTGCCTAATGAAATATCAGTATAAAATGTTATTATCTTTTTTGAAAAGATATTTTTATTTTTAGTGTGTTTTATCAGGTTTTTGTATTTTATGATTTTTTTGCTATTTTGTTTATTAAATTATAGTTGGTTATTCTATATTGTCTAATGTGCCTTGTCTTGTTGTAAATTGTACGGTTTTCCTTTTGGCACTGAATGTTTGCCATATTCTTGGGAAGCCACCTTAAGTCCCTTCGGGGAGATAAAAGGTAAAGGTAAAGGTTTCCCTTGACATTAAGTCTAGTCATTTCCGACTCTGGCGGGGGGAGGGGTGGTGCTCATCTCCATTTTGAAGCCAAAGAGCCACTGCTGTCTGTAGATGCCTCCTAGGTCATGTGGCCAGCATGACTGCATGGAGTGCCATTACCTTCCCACCAGAATGGTACCTATTGACCTACTCACATTTGCATGTCTTTGAACTGCTAGATTGGCAGAAGCTGGGGCTAACAGCAGGAGCTCACCCCACTCCCCATATTCGAACCACCAACGTTTTGGTCTGCAAGTTCAGCAGCTCAGTGGTTTAACCCACTATGCCACCGGGGGCTCCTTGCAGAGATAAGGAGGTATATAAATAAAGTTTTATTTATTTATATATTATAATCGGATGCTCTCAAAGACAGATAATGATTACTCTTGAAGTGTAAGAATGGGGAATTATAGGGTATAGATCAATAGGAGTGTGCTGTATCCCACACATTCACAAGTTACATAAAAATAGGAATATGGCAAGGCTCTGTCCCAAAACTTTGTAAGAAATTAAGCTGCCTGTATTCTATTAATCTTTCATAATAAAGACTAAGAAGTGAGTACATGTAATATGTATTAAACATAAAGAAAAAAGGCATAAGACAACAGATAAGTCTTAAATGATAAATGTATTAAACTTCTACCTGTGTCAGACACTGAGGCTGATGGACTAGGATCTGTTTGCAGCATCCACATTGGAAGCACCCTTTTCCTCTTTTCAGCAGGCTGTGCTTCTTTTGTTTCAGAAAAGCTAGCAGAGAACTGAGAGACACATTGTATATTTCCTGTTAGGTGTCAACATATATCAGTCGCAACAAATATATTGCATTTTTTCCATTCTAAAGACACACTTTTTTCCTATATAAATATCTCTCAAATGGGATGCATCTGATAATCAATGGCATCTTGAAGGAATACCAGGATAACTGGGTTCAATATTAAAAATGCAATCCTGGTCTTAGACTGCAATCCCATAAGGATTTTCCTAGAGACATTTTCCTAGCTGCTTTGAGTCCCCTTTAGGGAGATAAAGCGGGGTATAAATATAATAATAATAATAATAATAATAATAATAATAACCACAATAACAACAACAGTTCACATCCTCAGCTGCTGCAAGAAGATTGCACAGACAGACTACAAGCAGAAGCATAACACCATTGCTCAGATGATTCATTGGAACTTGTGTCACAAATACCATCTGCCTGCGACAAAGAACTGGTGGGATCACAAGCCTGAAAAAGTTACAGAAAATGAACATGTCAAACTACTCTGGGACTTCCAAATTCAGACTGACAGAATTTTGGAGCACAATACTCCTGACCTCATGATCGTGTTAAAAACAAATAATAATGTATTGTCGAAGGCTTTCATGGCTGGAATCACTCAGTTCTTGTGGGTTTTTTTCGGGCTATATGGCCATGTTCTAGAGGCATTTCTCCTGACGTTTCGCCTGCATCTATGGCAAGCATCCTCAGAGATGAGGTCAGTATGGATTGTCAATGTTGCAATCCCGGATGACAGCAGGATTGAAGAGAAACAACTGGAAAAGATGACACAATATGAGGATTTAAAGATTGAACTGCAAAGACTCTGGCACAAACCAGTAAAGGTGGTCCCAGTGGTGATCGGCACACTGGGTGCAGTGCCTAAAGACCTTGGCCTGCACTTAAACACAATCGGCGCTGACAAAATTACCATCTGCCAGCTGCAGAAGGCCACCTTACTGGGATCTGCACGCATTATTCGCTGATACATCACACAGTCCTAGACACTTGGGAAGTGTCCGACGTGTGATACAATTCAACAGCCAGCAGAGTGTCTGCTGCGGACTCATCTTGTTGTGTTTCAAATAATAATAATAATAATAATAATAATAATAATAATAATAATAGTAGTAGTAATAGTAATAGGAACAAGCTCCATTAATTCAAATGGGTCTGATCAGAATTGAACAGAATTGTACTGTAGACTTCACTCAGTCTTTCAGGTGAAATTAAGACACAAGCATGTGGACAATTTCAACAAAAAAGGTGGAAACCATGAAAATGAACAAAATCTGGCTACCAGTATTAAAAAACTCTAAAATTGCAACAACAACAGAGAGGAAGCAGGCAGGGACATCTAATTATCTCTCAACAAAAGTTTGCTCCAGGCACAGTCAGCCCATTGTATGCTAATCAAGGTGGTCAGTTGAAACATTCACACCTAGCTCCAGCAGACAAGAGTCCTTTGTCCCACCCTGGTCATGCCACAGATATATAAACCCTTTTTCCTAGTTCCAACAGACCTCACTACCTCTGAGGATGCTTGCCATAGATGCAGGTGAAACGTCAGAAGAGAATGCCTCTAGACCATGGCCATATAGCCCGAAAAAACCTACAACAACCCAGTGATTCCGGCCATGAAAGCCTTCGACAATACAAAAAAACAAAAAAAAAACTTGCTTATCTTGATACAACAGAAGCATCACAACATTTATGTAAATACAACCCTTCTAAAAGGGAAGCATCTCAATATAATGCATATTGAGAGCAGTTAGTATTGAGATATACTCACTGCAGCATTGTCACAAAATTTCACCAACTTGGTCGTTATACAAAACACAACTTATTAAATATTTCTATGTACTTCAATAATGGCAAATTACCTTCTTTGGGGTTTCAGCTTTCTCTAATGGTATGTGTGTTTCCAGAAGCTGGCGTTTCTTGGAAGGAGTCAATTGCTGTCCTGGAGGTTGTTGGTGAAGCATCCTGCTTGGCTGAAGAACTGAGGAAGTTTGTTTTGGTATGTCTTCTACGAGGAGGTGACAGTGCTTTCTATAACATAAGTAACACAGTTGAAAGATGTAATTGGCCTAATCATAATAGATAATAGTAAAGCAAAATAAAAATGGAAACCAGGGCATTTATTATACTTTCATAATATTCAGTTAACAAACTTCTATATATGTCCTGATATTCTCACTTTCCTCCCATGAGAAAACTTTCACCAGGGCCTGTTTTGATTTCCCCCCCAATTTCCATATGATTAGGCAGACAGGAACAGTGTAATAACTTCCATTATGTTGATAGAATAAATGCTTCTGCACTCACACATTGACAACAGTTCGCTACTGGCAAAATATTTTGCTGGTACAGGTTGAGCATCCCTT